AAACACTTTCACTCACTCCCCTAATGATCTTGTTGTTGATGGACTTTGTGACACACACAATGATGGATGAATCACACACACACACTTGAGACAACAACCAAGCACAAAGTGACACAATAATTTATAGAGGTTCAGCAATTGCCTACATCCTCTTGGTGATCCCCTTGAGAAATTCACTTCATGAAAGAATAGGTTACAACTTTGGTTTTACACAGAAAAAACCCCCTTAGAACTCTATTCTCTCCCCAAGCTCTCTTTTCTCTCACACCCCTTGCTCAACACTTTGATGCACTTGTGAAACACTCTCACAACCCTTGGTGTTTCCCCCCTTTGTGTCTAGACTCTCAAGACCCCAACTCAGCTCTAAACTTGAACTGATTGCTCTCTCTCACGTTCTCCCTTGGTGAGTTAACCTCCTTTGAACACAATAGCACCCAGCTACTTGACCACCTTGAGATTAACCACACCTAACTTCAACTTGCTTTCTCATCTTATAATGTCTTGCTTTATCTCCATTACCTACACAAACCAATGGACACAAGATAAGGCACCATCTTGTCTTCCACGTTCCTTCCTTTAGTCTCCCACTTAGACTAAAGATCAGATCATGCAAGTAAACAAATCCCACTTCAGCCACCTTCCAACAAAACCAGAAAATGGAGAATGGATTCTCCAAACCAAGACAACCAATTGGCAATGAGTGATCTCCCAACTATACAGCAGGTAGTCCACCTTCTTTTACCTCAGAAGTGACCCATTAAACACCTGCAATCGTGTGGAAAGCGATAGCCACCGAAAACACAGTTGAAAACACGTAAGAAATCGTCACAGCACAACTGGGACGACCGGTCGCCAGGAACTGGCGACCGGTCGCTTTTGGACTGAGGCTTCAGTTTCGATTCTGCTTCTTTACGACCGGTCGCAAATGGCACGCGACCGGTCGCTCATGTTTCCTGCAACCGGTCGCAAAGAACTAGCGACCGGTCGCCCCATGCATTTGCTCCAGACTTCGAAACTGTGTAAAAACGATCGATCGCCCAAACCTTGCGACCGGTCGCTCACTCCTTCACTTGCATACTAAATGTGAGCCATTTTCCAACAACATCATCACTGCCAGAGCTAAGAAGCTGCACAAACATGGCGACCGCACCATGTTCAATAACAACTCGTGTATGATCTGATGTTCCAGATGCAACATTGGTCAAAGACCATGCAGCTTCAAACTGAATATAAAGATGAAAGTCAAACTCGGTGTTTGATTGCACCTTAAAGGATAATTTAATTTTAACAACAAACTTCAAAAATATTCCGTACTTGCAATTGGGGCATATCACGTCTTCCAAGAAACTCCACAAACCGAGGGACCGCACCTGCTTTTATAACCTCGTCAATTGGAGGGCTGCGTTCTACCCAAAAACGAAAAAACAAAAGTCAAGAACATCACACGAATATTTCTTGTTTGCCCCCAGGACTTGAATAAAGAATCAAGCTTTAAATATAAGATCAAATTGCAAGAAGAGGAAAATAAAGAGTCAACTTTCTAAAGATCTCATGCATGAACATTCTTGTTTGCCCCCAGGACTTGAATAAAGAATCAAGCTATACAACTTACTTCTTGAATAAAATTCCGTTCCCTTTCCTTCACTTTCTCAGCAACCAAGCACATCCATACAAACTAATCCCACAACAATTCCAACCAAAAAATCAAACAAACACCACAACCACAACGATTCAAAATCCCTAAGACACTAAGCTATAAAAAAATAAATAAAATAAAACGAAGTAGTACCCTCTTCTGGAAAACGACGGCAGTTTGGGTGCCATCAAGCAGTTTTTGCTGGGACGGAGGCAAGCCTTCCCTTCTCTTCTTGAAAACTGTCCTCGCGCTTGTTCTTCCTGATCTCCACCAAGTTGTCCTCCCTTCTCCTCCGAGGCTGGTCCGCATCCACTCCAGTCTTGTACGATTTCTTGCGCACCACGGTGCTTGTTGTGCCCGGGCGAAGAGACATTGTCTTCTGACTTAGAGTTTGGTTCACTTTCGGTTCTGTGAAATAACGCTCGCAAAACATTCGATGAAATTACTTGAAAGAAAACCACAGCGAAGAAATGGATTCAGATTTCGGGGTGGGGGGAATATATAGGCGTGTTTGGGGTTTGGGCGGGATCGTATGTTTGTATATCTTACGACGCAAATACATTCTATCTTCAAATCTATAATATTCAATAACACAATCTACGGCTCACCTAAGATATGAGAACCCAAATCGCCCGTCGTTTTTGCTCTCACAACCGCAAAGCTAAACACCAACCTCTACACAGCCATGGACAACGTCTCATCTCTGGAGTGCCTGAAATTGGATTCCCAGTCGGAGGTGCTCGATAAGGACGGTGGAGAAAATGATCTTTTCTCGCCAGCTATTCTCCCCCTCAACTGTGACACACCAATAATCGGTATGTATGCTTTTCTTTTTTCTTTTAATTCAAGGGTGACCAAGACTATCTTCAATTTAATTACTTGGGCTCAAAAATTATCTTTTTACCTTATGTCCTTGTTCTCCTGTATGCTGTTGATTTTTGTTTTTAGGGTTTGTGAGGAAGATTATATGAAATTTGCTTGGGCTTTGTTCTTTGGAAAAAAGAAAGTGTTGTTATTATATTATTTTTGTTGGTGTAATTAGAGGCATATATATTATGCCAAAATTTCGGTTCAGCTTTTTAAGATGATTCTGGCAGTTGCATGATGGATAGCCGATATTTAATAATATAGTTATTTGTTGATGCTATCATAGATGCAAATTCCTACAAATTTTTTAACATCATCACCCTTCCCCTCCTTGCAAACAGAGACTAGGGCTGAAGAACCAGAGACTACAGAACCAACGGAAGAAGAACTTATTGCTTTTTGTGAGGGCTCTTGACATCATAGATGTCGTTCCTTCTAAATTTGACATTATCACCCTTTTTTTGTTCTTATTTTTCCTTTTGTATTTAACAATGTAATTGAATGGAAACAGGGAACAAGACTGAAGAATCAGAGGATGAAGAATCAGAGGATGAAGAATCAGAGCATTGGAAATGTGAAGAATCAGAGGATTGGAAATTCGAGGTTGAAGAATCAGACGATGAAAAATCTAAGGATGGAAAAAGTTATGGTAAGCAATTGATTTTAGGGACAATAAAACAAGGAAAAAAAATGTGCCCTGCAGCTTCTCTTTTTACATGTATATTCATTTTTTTTTAATCGTATGACATAATATCTATGTATTTGTTGTTATTCAATGTAATGTGTTCACCATACTGATTTTTGGTTTTATAATCTTCATTCATTCGTTGTCTTTAAAAAAATGATTATTTTTATTGTTCTCGTTGTTTTTAACAATGGATATACAAATTGCACATAGGTCAATGTAAGTGTTGTTTAAAGGTGGATAAGCACCCTACACAACTATGCTCTTATATGTATCGAGTCCCAAAGAACGCAATTGTTGGCGAGAGTTGTGTGGTTGCATGTCTTGTATGTGGCGGCCTCTTTAGAGACTCATGCTGTGGTGGTTGTGGCCTAAGCGCAGGACGAGCAATTCTCAAGGATTGTACAATCTGTGGGAAGCAAGAAGAACACTCGAATTTTGAGTGCCCGGAACGTAAGGATTCTGGTTTTACTTACGACCCTTATACTGGTTCTTTTTCTGTCAAGACTCTCCCTTTGAAATAGGAGAGAATGAGAGTTAATTGTACTTTAGAGTTAAAGCAAAAGAGCAAGGAGTGCTATTTTCCATAAATGCTATGTATCCTATCATTTTGATGTCTACATTGTGTATTGTTTTTATCGCAAACGAATTGCGATTTGCAGCACATGGTCTATTATATTGTTATGCTTGAACATGTGAGAATTCATCTATTTATAAAATGTCTAAAGTAAAAGGTGGTTTTTATCTCAGCATTTTGTTCTTCTCTTATGGGGTTAGCATACTGAATTTTAATTTAAAGACTTGCTAAACAACTAGTCATGAATGACCATTGTTATGTGCAAAAGTTTAAATAACGAAGGTAAAATGCAAAAGTTTAAGCAAAGTTTTGTGTGTTGGGAGGAAGTTGAGTGGATCTGCCCTTTCTCTTGGTGGTGCTGTTTTCTTATCGAAGTCTAAGGCAAGTGGCCGTTGCTGGGTTCGAGTTTTGGCACTGCAAGTGGCCGTTGCTGTCCGTTTCTGGGTTCGAGTTTTGGCACTGCGCTTGTATGTTATGTTTGCTCTATAATTTATGTTTGGTGTTGCCTTGTAGAGAGCTGGATTTGTAGTTAAGTTTGTCCTGGCCATGTGCTTATTGATGTGTATACAGAGTTGGCTGAAACCCTCCATGATTTGAGGGCTTTGCTTAGCTATTCAATCCTCTGTAATAGCCCCTGTTAATGAATGAATTTCACTTCTTTATTTTTAAACAATAAAGAAGTGAAAGCCACCTATTGTCGACTAACAAAGCCTACTATTAAAAAAGAAAGTAAACCATAAAAGAAACAGAAAATTACATTGCAAATGCCTCAATATCTTTTCTTCTATCAAAATCAAAATCACATTTGGCAAAAGTTCGTTGCTAACTCTTGTGCAACTTTTCTATTGTGTAATCTATTCAAAAGCATCACTGTCATTTGAGTAACCTCTCAATAATCAAGTAGTGAGTCATTTGAATTGCAGGGATAATATGTACAATAATCAAGGAGTTGATGTAATTGGATTTTTTGAATTTCGTGATTGACAATTTCTTTTTTGTGGATGCTTGATTTTAGCTCAATTTCAAATTGTAACTTTATCTTAAAACGTTTGAAAATTTTCAAAAGTTGACCATATACTGAAAAATACTTCAAAATATTAACTGTGATTTTATTTATTTGGCTAAAGTTAGGAAAGAAAGGGGGAAGTCACACATCGGTACCATGGAGGTTTGAATTCCAGATTATTTTTAGAGATGGTCCTTGATTGATTATGACTACTAACACCCCTACAAACATAACCCTTTCACGTAAAGTAAATTTAGCCATACCATTTTGAAATTCTGGGGTCGTCCTTGACTATTGGAGAACATATGCATGTGTCAATCCAACTCCCTATTAATATAGATTATGATTAGTTAACAATAGCTAAAATATGTCCTGAAAAAACAATAGCTAAAATATCCTCTCACCCATGAATTGCATAATAAGGGAACAAGCATTGAAAGGTTTTATAACGTCTCAATATTAATATTTATCGACCATATGATCCATTAAAATTACATAAAGTTTACAATACTACCTTCATCCCAATTCACTCATTTACAAGGGCAGAACCAAGGGGTGGCTGGGGTGGGCTCCAGTACAGCCCTGTTTTTTTCAAAATGGGCCTATATGTGCAATATAAGGGGTAAGTTATAAGGGGTTCACTTTATAGCCATCAGATCAATCCAAAGGCTAGGGAGAATTGAGATAAAGTTTTGCAATCGGGTAGGTGAGGAACCCAAACCCGAATTTAATATCCAGCATTGAAGTTGGTCCCAAAAAAAAAAAAAAAGAGGCAAGTTCGAAGTTTGAACAGAAAAAATCAGTTCGAAGTTTGAACAGAAAAAACCCATCACTCTAAAACCCATAGCTCTGAGAAACTGCTAAGCTCTGAGAAAAGGTTGAAGGCAACGGTTAACGACGGTTGAAGGCAACGGTTGAACGCAATGCAACTCCATTCTCTAAACCCTGAAAAAGTATTTATTTTGAGTGGAAGGGGCAAAGGCGTGGATTCCGAAATAGTGAAGTGGCGAAGCAGTGGAAGGGGAAGGAGAGAAGCCGTATTCGTTGGAAGTGAAAGGTTCCATTTGTGGAGCAAAGCCGCACAAAGACCCCGCACAGACATCTTGCGATTGTTCAATAACCAGCATTTGGTGAGTAATTTATGGAATTTGAGTTTAGGGTTAGAGTAAAGGTTTTCCCCAATTTGTACCGTCAATGTTGTTGGATTTGGCATCTCTTCCTTGTGCTTCACTTGCATGTTAATTTTTGCTTGTGTATATGTTAAAAAATGAATGAAAATCAAGTCAATAACATGTTAATAACATATCAATAACATATCAATAATGATATGAATAAGATAATGGTGTTGAATTGGAGAGACCCTCAAAACCTTCCACATTTGAAGCAGTGCAGAGTGCAGATTATCTCTTTGGCGCTAGAATATATATATTTTTTGAAATAAATATTATTTCCCTTGTTGCTAAATTTGCCTGTGAAAAATGAGAACATATAATAATAAAGTCATGAATAAAAGTGCAAAGCATTTGAAATAAAGGTTGATCCATGACCATAGTGGCTGACTGAAGAAAAAGCTAGAAAGAAAGAAGGATGTGGCAATGGCTTAGCAAGCAGATAGCAGAGCAGATGTTTTGTTTTGCTTCCTTCCACTATCTTTCTTATTTATTTATTTATTTTGTGTTGTGTATGAGATGACAATAATTGTCATGTGTGTGAAGTGCAGAACTTGCCTAGATTGCACTCATACTCACTCATGCATCAACCATTGATTGGAGTTTGGATCCATAAATAAAACACATGCTATTGGTTGTAATTCACAGAATCATTGCATTAACAGGTATTTGCTCAAAATTTGTCATATTGCTTTGATGATGTTAAAGCCTGTGATCAGTAATCCCTATGCGCATGTACTTCATAAAATTTGTAATGTGCCTGGTTGACTAGTTGTGTAAATACCAATATGATATATGATTGTGCAAATACGTGGTGGTAGTATATGTGTTAACATTATTTCATCTTGTATTTTAGGAAATGGGATCCAACGGTAGTATATGTGTTGACGTTATTTCATCTTGTATTTTAGGAAATGGGATCCAACGTGCAGCTGGTATGGCCAGAGTCAGAGGCATATGCGTCACGGGTGAACAACTGCTCACATGCAAATTCAACCCTAACTGCAATTCGAGCGAAGTTGAGTGCGGAACAATTAGAACAATTCAAGACATCATGCTTTGGCCATCTTCTGAATATAGACAAGATTCAGTTTAGCGGGCAGATTGTGCATGGAGTTGTGTTGCGTCGAGTCGCGGGGCAGGGTGTGAAAGACTTGGATGGACTGAGTTTCTTAATAGGGTGCGACGTTGCTCAGTTTACTCGTCAGGATTTCTGTTTGATCTCGGGGCTTCGTTTTGGGGAAGTGCCTGAAGTTTCCAGTGGAGAAAGTGCTGAAATTAGACTTCAGAAAAGATATTTTATAGACGAAGGAATTACATGTAATGCTTTAGAAGAAGCATTTATGAGGTGCAAAGAGGAAGATGACATCTACAAGCTAGCTCTTGTTTACTTTACTGAGTTAGTGGTTTTGGGAAGGGACAAGCATTTGAACATCAATGTAAATTACCTGACCCTTGTAGAGGACTTGGATGCGTTCAACAGGTATCCGTGGGGTTCGGTGTCCTTTGACAAAACCCAAGGCAGTCTATTTTCTGCACCAACAAAGTATACGAAAAGCTTTGAAAATGAAGAGGGAAGAGAGAAGGGGAAAAGTAAGGTAACGGGAACAAGCCGAAAAATGAGAAGGGCAAGAAGCATAAGCATGGTGAAGTGCAAAGGGGTGGGTGGAGTTTTAAAGGTTTCACGTATGCTTCCAGTTACATGGTAATAATGTTCATGTCAGTTATGCTTTGTGAACTTTAAAACTTAAATAATGACTTTTGTCCTGTGAATTGTGTAGATTTGGGTATATGAATTAATTCCTAGAATGGTGGACCTGAATTACTGCAAGGTTGTTGATCCAACAGCTGTCCCACGTATTTTGCAATGGAGAACGACTACGTCTATGCCCGAGATGAGGAAGTTGAACAATTATTTTTTCCAGAGCAAAGAGGTTTGGTTTGCAGCCCTTGAAACTGTTTATAAGATTCAATGAAATTATTAAGTAGAATGATTGAATATGAATATTGTCTGTATTCTGAAACAGTCAGTTCAGTTGCGGGCGCTACGTCCGAGTGAAGAGGAAATGAGACAATCATATTGGAGTTGGCCACAGGATCGCCCTGCTGTTGTCTCGGCAGAGTCAATTCCTTCTTCATGTGCTGATCTTGATGAGTTGAACAAGCTGGTAAGCTTGTTGAGGTCCGAGTTGTTTCAAGTAAAGCGAGAAAATGACGTCCTTGAGTTAAAGGTCATACGGATGGAAAAAACTTTTGGACCACTGTTTAGGTCCTCAGTTTGAGCAGGAAGTAAGGAGGGACCTAGCTTTACTGAAAGAGAGGACGAATCGTTGTGCCATCTCACATCTATTTAAGGGATCTGACGAAATGGATGATAGTGAATGGGATGAAGGGCCAAGTAACAGATATGAGGGAGAGGAAAAGGACGAGGAGGGAATTGAAGGGGGTGAAGTGCAAAGAAAACCAAGTGAGGTAGAGGAAGCGCAAAGGAAAAGAAAAGAGGGAGAGCAAGTGAAAATAAAAAGCAGCAAGGGAGAGGAAGCGCAAAGAAAGAGCAGTGAGGGAGAGGAAGTGAAAAGAAAAAACAGTGAGGGAGAGGAACTGCAAAGAAAAAGCAGTGACGGAGGGGAACTGCAAAGAAAAAGTAGTGATGGAGAGGATCCGCAAAGAAAAAGAAGGGAGGGCGAGGAAGTGAAAAGAAAGAGAAGTGAGGAAAAGGAAGTGCAAATAAAGGAATGTGAGGAAGAGGATGATGAAGTTGTTTTGGTTTGTGATGACATTGGCGAGAGCACGGCGGGGACAACTGTTGAGTTTACTCTCGGGGATATTGATTTGGATCAACCTACAGCTGTGCTATCTGAGTTGAACGTTTGGTTGAATGATAAAGGTAAAGCTGTGGAACAAGGGGTCCAATTACGAAAGAGAAAGAGGATTATTCCTATGTGGAAGATCATTGAAGCTAGTGAATTGGTGAAAAAACCTGTGCCAGAGACAGCCCGACTTTGGATGTTAGACCCAATGAAGGCGATTCCGCATGATGATATGGTGAAATTGCTGAAACTTTGTTGGGAATGGCGCCATGTACATAGATTATGAGATTGACAAGAAAAACATGTGCAACACATTGATTTGGGGTTGTATCTCATCCATAAGTGACAACAAGATTTGGAGGTTGTACTAATATCGAACTGGACAATGACCGATGTATTTTTCATGGTATGTCATAGGCCTTGACCAAGTGCAGTTAATAATTACAAATTATCCATACTTGCTTTGTGGAGGTGTTTAACCATTGATTGTTTTCTATTTC